AGTATTCATTGTCATTTGTAGCAGAAAATTCAGGTTATTTAACTATAAGCCATGATAATGTGAACAACTTGGTTTATACTGTTATCCTAAGATAAAATCCTTATGTGTAATGATTTCATGAGATTTAAAAAGGTTGACGTTTTAGAATTCATTTTCTTAAACTATTATATTTAGACAGTGGGGCCTATGGTTAAAATTTACTACAATTTGACTTAAAATAGCAGTGATTTTTGACAGTTCTAAGTTTAGATTACTTTTTAAAAACATTTTATTGTGCTTTAGGTGAAAGTTTTTTTTATATTTTTGAGACAAATAGGGAAATCAACTCTAGATGATAATATAATTGTCTGGATTCATAACTGGTTGGATGACATGTTCTGCCTCCCACAGAACATCTGGGCACCAAGGGAGCCACCCGATAGCTCCACCACTCATCTTGGCTGAGTGTGGTCTCCACAGATGCGCTTTCATCCACACTGCCCTCACCAACCCCACCATGCCATGTGGACCAGGTGTGGAGCCAACACATAGATGTGCTCCCTACCTCCTCCCACATGAGGCTCTCCCTTCTGTCCCAAACAGCTTTCAATTTTTAGAAAATTGGTTAATTTTCTAAATTGCATTTCAAAGTTAAAGATAGTAGAAGCTTGAGGGAAAACTATATGACAAGACCTTCTCTCCCTGCCAGTAAAGTTTATTACATGCAGCCACCTCCTTTTAGGAACTGGATGTTATCCCTATTTCTGTACGCTATGTCTTACTTTGTGTTTGGGGGGTAATTGGCTCCTTCAGGGGTGGAGTCCTGCTGGTGCAGTGGTTAAGTGCTCGACTGCTAACTGAGAGGTCGGCAGTTCAAACCCACCAGCTGCTCCTGGAGGGAAAGATGTGGCAATCTGCTTCCATAAAGATTACAGCCTTGGAAACCCTATAAGGCAGTTCTGTTCTGTCTTACAGGGTGGCTATGAGTTGGAATTGACTTGATGGCTATGGGTTTGGTTTGGTTTCTGAGCTCCTTCAATCAGTATCTCAACTGTCTGGTGGGTTCTCATGCTTCTTTGACTTCATGGTCCTGATATTTTCTAGAGGTGGCTGGAGTCAATCTGTGGGGCAGTCAGAATAGTGGGTAGAAAGTAGGCCTTAACATCAGAAAAGATTAAATTTAAAGCCTTCCCCTGGCACTTCGTAGCTGTGTGACCTTGAGCAAGTTAATACAGTAAAACCTGCAATAGCCAGAGCCTATGCAAGGCAGAAACCTGTCAGAGAAAGAAAACTCAAATCTTTTCCACTAAAAATGAAAAATAGAAAAGTGGTAAGACTGCACCCTGTCAAAGGCAGAAAGCTTGTAAGACCCGGAAAAACACGTTGAGTTTGGGTTCTCATAGGTTTCACTGGTTTTTTGGTGGTCATTTGTTAATTTAATGAATGAAAGTTTGTGGAGCACCTACTCTAATGCCACGCTCTGTTTGGTTCTGGTGGGAGAGGTCATGAAAAATGTTAAAAGAGGGGAAAAAAAAATCTTACGATATAGGAGATTTACGATGTTGTCCCCTGTATTAAAAATGCTTATTTTCCTCATAGCTTCAGAGTGTTGCTGAGATTTAAATAACTAATGTAAAATCCCTAGGAGAAATTCTTCTTATTGATTCAGCAAATACGGTCCTTCCTGCTTTCTCCTACCTTCCCTTCTCCTTGAGGCCTTTGTTTATGGAAGAATGTCATACAGGCATATTCTTCACAAAAATGTCAAGACAGACTTAGAAATGCTTTTAGCTGCAAAATATCCCTATTCATCCCTGCCCTTGAGGCACTAACAATCTCTTGAATATGCTGTGACATTTCTCAGGCATGTGACCTTATAACATAGACCTAAAGTGTTGTCAAATTCAGTCTGAACATTTCAAGTAACCACTTTAATTTTATGATTAAATGTGTTATTAGGAGAGATCATAAACAGTTTGTAGTTGCTAAGGAGTTTCTTGGCTAACTCCTCATTATTTAGATAACAGCCTAGATGTCACCACCTCCAGGAAGCATTCCATGACCACTTAGATTTATTTCAGTGTTTCTGCTATGAGCTCCCATAACACCTTACACTTCCCCTATCATGGAAGGCAATACAGTCATGTGTCTGTAAGGTAAGTTCAGCCTTTGTATCATACAATCCTGGGTTAAAACCCCAGCTCCACCTCTTAGTGGACTTTGGCAAGTTATTTAGCCTAAGTCCCCTTTTCCTCATCTCTAAAATGAGATTAATAGAACAGGGTTAAAGGAGATCATGCATATTAAGTGCCTACACAGTGCCTGGCACATGGTAAGCAATAAATAAGTGCTAGGTGCTACTATCATCATCATCATCATCATCATCATCATCATCATCATCATCACCATCATCACACTTTATTATAAGTGCTCATTGAATGTGCTTGTCTCCCTCAATTCCTCATGAGTTCGATGAGGCAGGAACCATATCCTGTCTGTTCACCTTTTGTCTACGCTGCCTAACGGTTTCTGGCACATAGTAGGAGTTTTACAACTTCATTGCTGAGTGCTTGAGATGAATTCCTATGGCCCAGAAGACCGTGGTGGCTGCTGAGGTTCTGCAGTGTCGCATGATTGTCATGTTTAATGCCCTCAAAAGCAATGAGATGCAGCCAAGTTCCTAAGAGCGAGTCTAGCAGAGCAGATTCTAACTGGAGCAGGTGAGATCATGTCGGTGGGAACGGAGCTCATCTCTGAGCTGGCAGGCGCTTTCACAGCCTACCTGCACATCCTCTAAATTTCACAGAGTACATGCTAGCGCACATCCTCTGCATTACGAGGCTAGGCATGAGCGGAAGTGGAGGGCTGTAGATCCTAACAGGGATTTAGAAGACAGCTGAGGCCAAGCTATCCAGCTATTTTTTTAAATTAAATTTTTTTATCTATCACCATCTAATCTGTGGAATTTGATTTTTATTCTTTAAGGATAACACTTAGCTAAGTACTTACAAATAATAAATATAAAAAATAATTAGCTAGAGGTGATGTTACTTCTAGAGGAGGAGAAAATGACATTCACTATAAATGTAAAGGATAGCCACCACATATTAGACAGTTGATTAAGGGAGTGCATGGTGGTCCTGCTCATCTGCTCTCTAAATTTCTGCACAACACATATTCTGAATGAGTAATAATTTGTGACTGTATTGGCAAAACTTATTTCTAATATAAATGAGATGTGAAAAACTAATATTTAAGCCACTTAAATACTCTGCTTACTCTAAGAATCACCATTCCCCAGAGGCCAACCTTCTGCTTTAGAAAAGTGTCATTTATACTTCCTTGACAATGTAAGGTCAGATTCTCGAGTGGTTTGCCCAGTGTTTTGTTCTTTTGCATCATCACATTTACCCAAACACACCACAGGAGGGCAGCACACACCTGGTTAAGTAAAACAAAAACTGCTTGTCTTAAATTACCACTTAGAATAAACGATAAAGAAGCATAAAGGAATGCATCCTTTAAGACTCTGAGTTTCTACAAAAGAGAACCATTCGAACTAATCAGACTGCAAAATGGGAAAACAAAAAGTTAAAGAAAAAGAATTCCCCAAATGTGTGAAAACAGTATTTGTTATACCTGAAAGACTTCTACAACGGAGTTCTATAGTCTGAACACCAGCTACTCAAAGAGAATCAAATCCCCAACAAAGACCACCTTATAAAAGGTAACTTAGAAATGTACCTCAAATTGAACCTACCTTATAGTGTATTCTGCTTTGAATCAAAGAGAGCTTTAGTGTATTTCCAATGTTTTATATAAAACAATCAGCAATTTTTATGAATTTTGGTATTATTCTGTAGTTATATAGAGAGGTTTTATTATAATAGAATATATACTGGCTTTAGAAGATGTGATACTTAGATACAAACTTTTAAAAGGAAATTTCAGTAGAGCATCATTAATTCAAGACTGTTCAAATCCAGAATTTGTGGTAATTTGACTTAAATATTATCCACGTTACATAGGGAAAAGGTTGGCTAAGCAAGTACATAGTCTGAGCACTTAGCAAGAGGAAATGCTTCAATTTTTCAAGAATAATTGAATTTTAAGTATAACTCTGATTTTAATTTTTCTTGCAAAATCTTTTTGCAGAAATATAACGTATGCGTATCTAACCAACTTCTTGGGTGACTCTAGAACTATCAGCCTGGGACCAGTAAACAGATTACTCTTGGATTAGCGAATTGAGTACATGATCTCTCTTGGAGTAGATGCTTACCGTAACTGATCTGTTAAAGCATGGACTTTTAACCAGCTAGCACTTGTTAACCTAGAGTTACTTAAGAGATTTTAAAATGGTTAAAACAAAACAAAAGTGGTTTCCCATTTATTCAGATTGGCTTTCTCCCTCAGTCCAGGTTACTGAAAATTTCCTGTATAATAACCATTTTAAGATTTCTGCTAGAAATTCTTGTTTTTGATAAAATCTGTTTTCAGAAAACTGTAAAGATTTCCTTGTCCAATGTTAATCTATTAATCATGGAAAAGATTGTATTGCATGCTCTTCTCATTATAGTTCTGTGATATATAATGTGCCCATGTGGGCTGACAAAGTCAGTTATCTGAATATATTCCATTTTGGAATAGCAGATGTAAGTACTGACTAAGCTAAGTAACCATCACCATGTTCAAGTTCAAAACTTTCATTATATAAGTAGACCCTTTATTTTAAATGTGTCCAAACATGTATGGCCAAGCATGTCATAATGTACTTGAGAAATTCCATGACTAATTTTCCTGTTGCTAATTTTCATCATACTATATTTAATTAAGAACAAAGTCCTATCTTTTCTATCGACATCAGGGGGAAAAAAAAGCTTAATCAAGATGTAAGATGTTTCTGTGTGAATGAACATTCCTCACTAAATCTCAGGCAACTGCTTTAGGCTTTATACTGTTACTAACACCTTGCGCTGTCATCTCTTTGTATACATGTCTAATTTATCAGTTTCTTGTAGATTGTCAGCAGCCTGCTGCCTCCGTACCGCCACAGTGCTCACAACTAGCCGGGAGGCAAGACTGCCCGACTGTCAGGTAAATTCAGACGTCCTTTCTCTTCCCACCCAGCTTCATGTCAGACCCATAGACTCCAAGCTACCCTTTCTGATGGTGCCATAATGCCTTGTACATCATTGTATTCTACATTTCATTTCAATTATGAGCTACATAAATGCAGATCGTATAGCCTGAAGTCCATATGTACCATCGGGAATGCAAGAGAGCTACAGTATATTTCACTGGCCAGTAGACAAAAGACTACCTTCAACTCTGTTGTGTGAGTAAATAATTGTATTAGTCCATTGTTCTATTACCTTCCAAAGTAGAAAACTTGGACTCGTGTGGATGTTTACCCTACTTTTTCTTTTGTCCTGGTAATGTATTTCTCAGGCACACAAACAGGAAAAACATAAAATAAAACATAACTAATGCCTGTTCCAGGACAACTTTGTAAAAGTATCTCTATTTTCTGTCCACTCAGTACTCCCATTAAACTGAATTTTTAAAATGGAGGAAGTCTTGTAATTAACATTAAAAGAGACAACTTTGTAATATTTGTGAGAGATTAAATTAAGAATTTTAAAGTCAGTTTCACACAATCCATGGACACTAAATTGAAGATTTGCTGACCATTTCTTATCCAGATGAAAATAATCTTAAATTATATTTACGTAAATATAATTATGTTTTTCTTGCTTCAGTGGTCATATATTTTTTCCGTAAGGTTCTAAAATAGATTTTTCTCTCTCTCCCTGGGAAAACAAGATGATTAAGCAGAAGTGTTTTTCCTCAGGCTAGTTATTGGATTTAAACAGGAGATATCTTTTAAAGTATAAATATTCCCAATTTGCCCTTCTCTTGAGAACCTATATATTTGATTGTTACCATGAATCTGTATTTGTTTATTGCCTGAAATCTGTATACTTTCTTCCTTACCTTCTCCCCATCACTACTTTTTATACTTGACAAAAATTATGGTTTGAGAGATAAATGGATCTAGCCGCCGACATATTTGTGAGCTTTCACTCAGGGCTTTGAACTGGTTCAGCGCGGCTGACAAAGTGAAACCAGAAGAGACCAGAATTTTTACAATTTGAGTGACATGGAATGATAAATAGAATGGGAAAAATTACAGACAGAAGCCCTGGAATGGGAGACTTGGAAGAGGCATAGTGAACCCTTTCAAGAGCCTGATGCTTGAGATTGGATTATTGACATGACTGTGGAGAACCACACACATTCAAAATGGTGTGGTTGGCTGCCATCTTTGAGCCAGACGCCCTGATTTCCAACTGCTCAAAATCTGCTGGGCAAGAGAGTTGGTTGCGATGCAGCACATGTGCTGCCCTAGCTGTCTAACAGGGCTTCTACCAGTAATTTTTCCTATTCTAGTTACCGTTCTGGTTCACCGAAATTTTAAAAATTCAGATCTGTGCCAGTTTCACTTCCTTAGCCATGACTGAACTGGGAAGAACTGGTTGGAAGCCCTGCTTTCACCTCAAGCCCTCAGGCAAGAGTCAGAGGTCAGACAGCCATAAATTTGCATTGTGATAGTGGGGCGGGGAGAATTCTCTCCAGGAGGTAGTAAAACTGGATTGGAGTCAGAAATGCCTTGATTCAAATTCTAGTTTAACACTTAACTGTGTAACCTTTGATGCGTAGCTTAACCCAAGCACACTGTAGATTCCTTACCTGTAAAGTAAGTGTATTAATAATACCTACATCATAGTATTGTCGTTGGATAACTGAGGATAATATAAATACAGAACCTAAAATATAAAGGCTGTTGAATAAATGGTAGTTGGGATTATTACTTCCTTTCTGCAGAATTTTTGGAAAGGTTAATTGTTACATCTTTCCATGTCAAAGAGAAAAAGTAAACTTTTTTTCCCCTCTCTTTATTTGGGAAGTTAGTTTTCTGAATACTAAGTTAAATACTAATTCACTAATAGTATTTGATACTAATACCAGTAAATGTATTAAATGGTGGAACTGAAATCTGAAGTTATTTTAAACTAATTTCCTTCCCAATATTTAATTTAAAACTTCATATTTCATTGTATTATGTAATTCTCTAGAATTCTTACACTATAGTATAATTTGGTGCTACAAAGTTGAAAATAGATAACCAAATTTTTAAAAATAAATTTTAACAGAGTTTAAATAGAATACTATATGGATATTTGAGCTTCTCAACCATTTTGGCTAGAGGTATGTCATACATGTTTTTATGTTTATTTTATAAGTTAAAATAGCTATCATTTACTGAACACTAGACATTGTACTACATGTTTAATATGTTATAATATTTACTACATACACAGAAAATAAACTTATGAAGTAGGTAGGATTATTCCCTTTTACAAATGAAGACACAGAGACTCAGAAAAGTTAGCCAAAGTGCTCAAGAGCCCGAAGCTAGTATGTGATAGAGACAGGATCCTATCCTACTCTAGCCTGTGCTCTTAACCACTGCGTGAGGCTTGATAAGGACAAGGACAATTCACACATTTTTCACACAGTTACTGGGGAGAAATCATTGTGCAGTCAGAGGTTCTCAACCCTGTCTCTGCAAAGAGTTTTCCTGAAGTTTTTAAAAATATGTTTAGTTCTCTCTTAGGTCATTTTCTGAATATATTACATGAAATATCCTTAATGTAAATGTCAAAATAAATAAGATATGAGAATTTCAATGGAGATGATATAAGGCCTATTCTTTCTCTGAACTATAAGTGATAGCCATGTGAACACACATAAATTACAGAAAGCTTTCCAAATCATCATGAATTTACCTCCATCTTGGGTGAATTTCTATGAGGCATCACACACCCTGTCTGGACCTCGTCATCTTCATGTAATACTTCATCTCCAGTTACTTGGCCTCTGAGGATGCCAGGCTTTTATAATCTGGTTGTGATTTTTACAAAGATCCCTGGGTGGTGCAGATGGCTTGCACTCGACTACTGACCTAAAAGGTTGGTGATTCGAGCCCACCCAGCAGTGCCACGCAAGAAAGGCCTGGTGATCTGCTTCCGTAAAAGATAACAGCCAACTAAACCCTACGGAGCAGTTCTACTCTGTAACATGGGATTGTCATGAGTCAGAATCAACTCTACAGCAATAGGTGTGGTTTTTACTGCTCAATTTTCTGTCCTTATTTTAATACGACTGTTGCCCTTATACCAGGGACAACTTCTTTTGAGTAGATGCAGGACTAAAATATCTCCATGCATGTCTGAGGAGTGGATGTCAGTAGCAGGCTCCATGTGGTCATGGGTTAGAGTAGAGCCAGGGGAGGTGGAGGGAGACAAGTACAGAAACACAGCGGCAGCCAAAGCCCAAATTTGGCTTGGTCTCTGAGGCCATTGTACAGTCAGCTGTGTAAGTGGAACATCAAGTTAGCAGAAAAAGGTACACGATAAAATAGGCTCCAAGCCGGTGTCTCATGTTTGGTTACTCAGTCTGCTCTTCCCACCACTTCCTGTAGCAGGGTTATTACTTCAGGAAGGTAATTTGCTAACATACTAATGCCATTTTATAGCAGTAGTCATTTATAGAGGAATTATGTAAGTAATTGATTATACTTACAAATGTTCAAACCCATCTCAGTAGGATTCTACATGTGTAGTGGTTAAGAACATGGGCTCTTAACCTAGAGTCCATTCTCTACAAAGCACCCCTACCCTCCTCACCCAAGGCCTGGAATAGTCAGGCAGATGACTGTTGTTTTTAGTTACCATCGAGTCGATTCCGACTCATGGTGACCCCATGAGTGCAGAGTAGAACTGTGCTCCATAGGGTTTTCAGTACTGTGACCTTTTGGAAGCAGATTGCGAGGGCTGTCTTCTAAGGCACCTCTGGGTGCATTCGAACCGCCAACCTTTCAGCTTGTAGTCAAGCATTTAACCACTTGAACCACCAATGGGCTCCTAGGTGCGTGGCAGGTGCTCAGTAAAGTACAGGTTCCATGAACAGTGAATGAGCTCTGGAGTCAGATTGCTTGAATTGGAATCCCACCTCTAACATCCACCGGTTGTATAATCTTATGAAGTTGCTTTTGCTGGCTAAAATGCCATTGCTTCACCTGTAAAGTGGGGATGAGAGTAGGTATTAGGGAATTAAATAAGGCACAGGCCTGGGCCATAGTGTGTGTTCAATATCTGTTTTTTGTTGGTTTTTTTTTTTTTTTTACTGTTGCTGTCGAGTCGATTCTGACTCGTGGTGTCCCCATGTATGTCAGACTAGAACTGGGCTCCATAGGGTTTTCAGTGTCTGACTTTTTGAAAGTAGATTGCCAGGCCATTCTTCTGAGGTGCCTCTGGGTAGACTTGAGCCTCTAACCTTTTGGTTAGCAGCTGATTGTGTTCCCGTTTGCACCACCCAGGGAGTCCCAGTATCTCTTAGCTGCTCTTAATACCTAACTACCCTCAAGATAAAGGTCTACAGTCTGGTCCATAACCTCTCTAGTTTGCTTGGGCAAAGAGTGGAGAAGGCTACCGTTTTAAGTACTTCAGTTAGATAAGAAATGGAAGGACTGGGGGGAGGGCATTTTTAAAGTTTAATTTTATTTCACCTTGCTTTTTTTTTTTCCAGAACCAACTTGATTAAATGGGTACATGCACAAGTTCCATCTCATCTGAGATTACTGAATTTAGATTGCTACCTCCACAGAGATGATTTACTTTAAAGAAATACAATTTAATGAATTACATATGTTTCTACTTTCTGCTGGCCTAATGCAGCGTGGTCCCTGTCAGGCATCCCCTGTTACTCATCCTGGTCCACACAAAGAAATTATAAAAAGTATATACATCTGAAAAGACTCTCCTTTTCAAAGTTGCTGGGATTATGACAGGCTTCCTTCCCACCCATGCCCACTCCCAGAAGGATTGCAGTTAATGTCCTCATTTTGCTTCTTTCTGGCAGAAAAATTAACATGTAACCAACATTAGAATTCTTACTGTGTACCAGACAAGTGTTAAGTCCTTTACGCCTGTTAATCATAATGACCCATTAGGTAAGGTAAGGACTATTATTATACCCATTTTAAAATGAGGAAACCAAGGTTAAAAACCAAACCTGTTGCTGTCGAGTCAATTCCAACTCATAGCGACCTTATAGGACAGAGTAGAATTGTCCCATAGGATTTCCAAGGAGCAGCTGGTGGATTTGAACTGTGCTTAACCACTGCACCACCAGGGCGCCAAGCAAAGACTAAAGGCCCACACGTCTAGAAAGCAGTGAACAATGACTCAAACACCCATTCTCCTAACCACCACCATATACCGCTTCACTATAGAGGAGACATTTCTTCCACTTTTAGTGAAATTGTGAGGAGCAAACAGTATTTAAATCACCCACATTGACTCTTTATTCCCGAATTGAAAAGGAGCTTTTGTTCAACATATGAGAAACAAAATTTGCTAAGAATGCTGAGTGATTTCTAATCAAGTGGTCTTTATCTCTGATTTTCATATTTAAAAAAATTGTTTACACCGTTGTTTTACACTTCCTTCAGTTTAAATACATACATTCAAATAACTTTTCAGGTATACTGTTTTTTAATAAAACATTGAAGAGAGGATTTTCTCATATTTTAAAATGTAGCAGTTTTCTAATAAAGTTATTTATAGACAATGGATATTATAATATGAAAGAAAAGCCCGAGGTTTTGTAGCCTTGGATGTAATACTTAAATATATAGAGATATTTGGTATTTAGCGCTTTTCCTGTTCTATCAAGTAACTATTTACTTGAAAAAAAAATGGAACTTTCTGAAGTTACGTCCATTATTATAACTTAATAATAGTTTCTTGGGCACACTGGTTACTACATGATCTATCTATGAAAATTAAACTCTTAAATGGTAAAAGATGAGTTACAAGTGGGCAATCAGAGTTTAAACTGAATTCATCCTACTCCTTAAATGATCAAACTTAACAAATGTTTGCATTCAAGAAATAATTTCTTAACCTGTAAGCCAAGAATATATTTGTCACGTAATATATACAGTGTAATTGCAGTTTATGCAAATGTAAAATAGCAATAACATAATGTAAAATATTTATAATCTCTCACTTTCTGTAAGAATCTAAAATAACAGATTTAATCATCATGAATGACATAATGTCAAGGTGTTGGGTCAAGTGAGTTCTAGCCATGTCAAAGCTGTTGCTGTACGCTTCAGCGGGTCAAGCAAAAATACTTCACTTCCATACCCAGAAGAGTCTTGAATTACACAAGGTCTTCAAAAATTATCCCTCTTATATAATGTGACCACCCTGTACTACTTGTCATACTTATATTGAATAATGTGTTTAATCCTCTAAAAAGGAACCAGTTCTAAGTCATGCAGATTTCCAGAAAGAAACTTGGTTAGGTCTGTGGGAAAAGCATGTCTGATGAAGCTATGCTGTGTTCCTGGGCCGTATCATTCTATCTGGAAGCCCAGGAATGTATCTTTCCATGCATTCTTTTCTTAGTTCTTTTGCTGGCATTCCAGTTCTCCCATAGTCACCTACCACGTTTTAAAAATAGCTGGGAAAAAATCATTTTTATCACTGGTTATCCTAATACAGAACAGGAAATCTCCCCTTTGAATTAAATTGACAACAGTTCAAGCAAAGAGTTTGGAAAGTAAAGTAGCCTCAAATGGATCATGTATTTTACATAATTATGATTTTATAATTCAGGAGCTATAGAAGAAGGATAATTCAATACCAAAGATAAAAACTATTTAATACTAACTTTAATATGAATTTAGTGATAATATTAGCTAAAGAAAATATGTTTAAATTAATTAATAGTAGTAATAATGAACCTTCAAGAGTTTGCTCCTGGCAGAAATGGTACTGAATTGATAATATAGGAGGGAAAAGCAGAGTTTTAGAAAAATACTGATCTTTCCCAATAAAAATAATACCCATAGTGTGATTTCTCCAGTTAGTCACATTTTAAAAGATTCTGTAGTTTAACCTTAGGCAATCCAATGCTTTTGCTTCCTTATTCTTTAAGATTAGGGATGGATACATTGATGAGCCTGAGCACTTCTGTGTTCATTTATACCAGCGGCTCTCAGAGGCACATTATATACTTAACAGATGGGAAGTGCATTCAAACTCTTCAGTCATATTTACACTACCAAGCTAAACCAGTTACAGAAAACTCTTAGAACAAATTAGGGTTCCATAAGCAAATTAATCATCCTATTGAATCTGAATCCACCATTAAACTGTAAAAAAAAAAAAGAAAAAAATTGCTGTTGAGTCGATTCCACCTCATAATGACCCTATAGGACAGAGTAGAACTACCACGTAGGGTTTCTAAAGCTATAATCTGCCACATCTTTCTACCCGCTTTAACAACCAACTTTTGGTTAGCAGCCAAGCATGTAACCACTCCATCACCTTCAGCAAACTACGTGTTGTTATTAGGTGCTATTGAATCAGTTCCAACTCATAGCAACCCTGTGTACAACAGAGCAAAATGCTGCCCGGTCCTACGCCATCCTCACAATCATTACTATGTTTGAGCACATTGTTGCAGCCACTGTGTCAGTCCATCTCGTTGAGGATCTTCCTCTTTTTTGCTGACCCTCTGCTTTATCAAGCATGATGTCCTTCTCCAGGGACTGGTCCCTCCTGATAACATGTCCAAAGTGCATGAGATGAAGTCTCACCATCCTCACTTCTGAGGAGCACTCTGGCTGTACTTCCTCCAAGACACTTGTTCGTTCTCCTGGCAGTCCATGGTATATTCAATATTCTTCGCCAACACTGTAATTCAAAGGCATCAGTTCTTCTTCAGCAGACTGTTGAATCCTCTAAAGCCTTGGTCCATGGACCAGCAACATCAGCATCACCCAGGAGCTTATTAGAAATGCAGAATCTTAGGCCCCACCCCACACCTACTGAATCAGAATCTGCATTTTACCCAGATGCCCAGGTTATTTGTTATACACATTACGTTAGAAAAGAACTGATCTAAAGAAATCTTGTGCTGACTCATAGACTTATAGGGGTGAGCTTGTGTGCAAAAACTGAAAAGCGGGACTGCAGGGGAAAAGTTCTTATGTCATTTCCTTAAATATGTTTCATTTTTCTTTTTTGCGCTTTGTTTTGAAAAGCTGAAGCTGACTTGACATGCTTTAGATTTAAACCATTTTCTGTGCAAAATTCCCGTTTTTTTTTTAATCTGAAAATACTTTGTCTAATCCTTACAACTGTGCCTGGCCCTTGTCTGTGTGTTTCTTGCTGACTTGCTTGTTTCTCCTTTGCAGTCCTGACATAGCTCTCCCTGATGAGCAGCCACATTCCAGCTCCCAGTGTGCACCTCTCCACTGTCTCTCCAAGCCTCCCTACCCCTAGTCTTCATCTCCCGTGGACGAACATCTGTGGTGAAATTGTGTAACCACACACAGGATACTGCCCAAGATCCAGCGGGTGTTTTCTTCTTGGTTGTTAGATGTACAATTGGATGAATGTCCATCATTGTGGAAGATGAGAGAAAAGTTGAGAAGAATAACACAGCACAGATCCCGGTGTGATAAAACATTTTATGGTTTCTCTAAATCATAGATAAACTTCTGCAATCAAATGGCTATGGTTCATTTAAATAAAAACAAACAACAAACAGGAAATACATATCTCAGATGGCTGGCATTACCTCGATAGCATAAGAGAGACCTAAGACAATGTAAAATACATACATTGTAAAATCATCTTTGCTCACACTCCAAATTCGGCTATAGAAGTTGATTGCAATTTTTTTTGTCATTGGTATTTATTTTGGACTTTATTTGCCAAGTGATTTGTGTCTATAAAAATCACTTCTGTGAGAGGTGAATTTAATTCATTAATTTTTAAAATAAGCATAACTTGCTCAATTAAGTATGGGTTTTAATTTAGTTTAAAATCTGGAATTGGCCAGACTGTGGTCATTTTTCTTGCACAAAGTGACAAATGAGGTGCATTGGAATGTTAACAATAACTGTATTTTGCTGCTACACTGATATTGTTTATGCACTTATTTTCTAATCAATAGCTCATTAACTACTGGATTTTTTTTAACTAGAGTTCTTCACTGAACATTATTAAGTAAATCTAAGAAAGTATAAGTTATGATCCATTGACGTACTCAATTTTTGACTGCATCTTTAATTTTTTTTAATTGCAGACAAGTAGATGCATTGGTGCTGCTCCTTTGTGTGTGTGTGTATGTGTGTGAGTGTAAAAAGGCTAAATATTTGAAGGGGAAAAAATGGTGTATTAATGACCAGAAATTTTTTTTACTTCTCCCAAATTCAGGGTCCTACTACAAGTCTTTCCTGCTAAAAGATATCAAGTACAAACGGGAAGATATATACATAGGTAGATGTAAGGTAGCCTTTAGTTAATTAATTTACCCAGAAAGTGTTCAAAGTTTTATTAAAATTGTATGTTTTGTTGTTGTTGGTTTTTTTCATAATGAATCTTCCTTGCCAAAAAAATAAGATAATAAACCTTAGCTCATTGTCTACTTTTGACAAACTCAGGTGCCTATAATCATTATAATATATGGAGATAATACATGTTCCTAGTTTATTTACAGATTCTGCTGGGTAACTTTTATGACTTGATTTATGGCAGTGGATTTTCATAGCAAAATTTATTTTGCACAGAATCTGACAAACAAGGAAAACAGCTAACTGAGCTGAAAGGTCTAACACTCTTGGGCTCATTAACTATCAAGTGCTGCCCACACAATTGCTCCTAGCCCTGATTCCTTGTCTTAGTCAGGTAGCCTTAACTTATTTAAAAGCAAAAGGATTTGACCTTTTCATGTACCGATATCTGTAACTTCTCTTCAAAATAAAAATGATCCTCCCTGTTAACACAAAGGTTGTTAGCAGAGTAGGGCGCTGATGATGGATATCTAGTGGGAGCCACTTGGCTGATTGAGTGGAAGTGCGTGGGACATTAATGGAAATGGTCCATCAAAGATGGTGGCCAGCTGATAAGTCATAAAGCACATTACAGGAGCTCTCATTAGTCATATTCCTGTTTAGTAGTGGTCACTATTACCAAAGTAACCAAGGAGTTTTGAGTTCCTTATTTGTGAGTGTGATTTTTAGCAGTGTTATTTATTATGCAACTTGGAGTAAATAGTTGAAAATCTTCACCAAAATAGGGATTCATGATGAAGTATAGAAAAAGAAACAAATCTTCATAAAGTCCTGATCATAGCAACCCAACCTTCTGCCCTGTCCTACCTGCATTGCTTTGCTGTTCCTAAACGTTTCCTTCATTTTACTGGTGTTCAATCTGCCTGGTACCAGCATTAGTGAGACTGTGGATTTTTTTCAGAGTTCAGTTAAAGGAACCTTTTTTTTTTTTCCATCTCCTTTTTTCTCTTTTCTTTTCAAGCATCACGTTTGAACTGAGAGCTGCTAGGTTGACTTTTGATAAAAGTTGTTGTGCCTGAGGGAAAACATGCCTTTTTAAAAAAAGTACCTCAGAACATCATCCTGTATTGCCTCATCAATTCCCTTGGTGGAACTGGGAATTCAGCAGTAAATACTGTCTGTGTGTAATTAGAGGGCAGTACTGCCTATTGACAATGCTATATTGCATTCTTGTTCACTTACTCTGTATGTATGATCCAGTGAAAAACTGGCCCATAAATACAAGTTATTTCTTCCAATTCAGACAAAATGTATAATTAAGTCTTTTATTTCAGTTCCTTGTCTTAATAGAATGGAAAATACTTGTTTTGAAATATTAATTCTATAAAAATATAAAAATGTTGATTTTAGCAAAACTTTGCCAAGAAGACATAAAGACTTGGGGGAAATAATTATAATTTTCAGCACAAAATTAGGTGATAGTTCCTAAGCAGTAAAAGAGAGTCCCATGTATTTACACAGTGGCATTTAATAGTCTAAACTGAGCCATATCTATCTTTATTTAAAGGTATTTAATGAATGAATATGTGTAGGGTTGATATGAATCTATACTGTAAAGATAACACCAGGATTCAAAGGAAATTAAAAACTGGAAGAACTAGTAAAAATAAAAAAAGAATGGACCTTGTAACACTAATTGAAGATAGACTTGGGGAAGAAAAATAAGCTGCAGAAATAGAATAAAAATGCCAGCTAATTGCAAACACAGTGGGCCATGATTAAAGGTAACTAGCAAGAGCAGTTAGCAATATAACTAGGCCATTTTCAATAAGTAAGCACAATTAGAATACTGAAAAGAAGAGTCAGTATACAGAAAGGCTTTTCAACTAAGGATTTTCTTAATTAAAAAAAAATCATAAAAAGGAGCAATAAATTGCCTTTGGCCTAAGTACATGGGCATACAGGACCCTCAGATTAATCTTTAAAATCAACTAATGGTTTACCAGATCTCTTTCATGTATCCAATTCTGGTTCAAATAAGACGAGTTTGGAGAACTTTGAGAAAATAAAGTTACTAAACAATTTTTAAAAGACTCATTTAGAAAGATTATACTTTATTTAGCCTAAGAAAGAAGAGGTATAATAGTGATCTTCAAGAAAAAAGAATTTAACAAATGGTAGTTAACCAGCTATAGATATCATTACTAAGAGTAGAATAAGAAAAAGTCTTCAGTGTGAAGGTATACTAACACATTTTTAACAGTGAGAAATTAATCATTGAAATTGATAACCATAAGAAAGATTTGTTAAAAATGTTATTGGTGGTCTAGTAAGGATTAAGAGGCACGATATCATATGATAATGTATTATAATTCTGGAAATCCATAATCCTATGGTTCTTTTATTTAAAAATTTAAAATATTTTAATGTCATGGTATTTTGTCATAAAATATTTTACCCCTGAAACTAGGATAGCAATCAGTTTTTCCAAGATACTAGGTTAAAAAAAAAAAAAGATTATTACTGCTTTTCCATCCAGATGTGTTTCATAACATCTTTAAAGTTGTTCAGAGTGTAGTAATTTCACTGTAAAAAGCCTCATAATTGTCAGAATCTAAAACACAAACATCCTCAGGAATACTTCAGAAATGGAAGCTACACGATCCCTTAGGGGGGCAAATGCCTCTCAAATTTTATCTTTTCTTAAAAGGAGCTTCGATCTACAATGTTTGCTTTTTCCATGCTTTGGAAAATACTCTTGTACAGATAAGTCCTTCTGTTTCAAACAAGCATAAATCTTTGGTCAAATAAACACCACTATGAATGTGGAAATTTCCCAATACGCTGTATTAAATAAAGCCCTCTACAGTTCACAAGTGGAAATTACAAAATAGGAAAAGGAAGAAATGAAATATATTTTCTACTGGGATAGGAATGTCAAATTTAATGTATAATTATCATAATCAGCCAAAAGACATAGTGTATTTCTCAGAAAGACACATTAGGGAAGACTGATAGTAAGTGTAATTGTGCTGGTTCAACCCAGGTATGTCACAAATGTCCACTCATGTTCGTGTGGATATTGTAGATATAAAGTAGAACTAGATTTGAAAGAAACTGTGGATAAAATTCACAATTGTAAAACAAAGTTTGCCCTCCAGATTTCTTGTTTGCTTATAAATTAGAGTGATTTAAAATAATCCATGTATTTAAGATTGCAAAGAATTGACAAGACTATGTTTTCAAATAAAGGAAACGTAATTCTTCAAAGAAACCATTGAACTGGAGTTATGATAGCATGATTAGAGCTGATACTGACAAGCAATTTTTTACTTTAAAATCAATTCTTATGGACATACAAGAAATACTTAACTCCCAGGTGACCTTTTCCATTGTCTGTAATAATTCCCCCAGATGAGTTGTGTCTATATTAAATTCATCTTTATTTAAATGCCACGTTAACTGCCATAGTCCCTGATGTATTGCATTTGTAGCCTGTAGCCTGATCCTATCATGTTAATACCTGAAAGATTTCATCTCGGCTTCTCTTTTGTTCTTGTTACATAAAGTATAACTGAAACAGATATTTAAACTTAAGGTATGTTCCCAATTGAAGATTTTTCCAGAAATAATATTCTGTTTAACAAGAAGAAGCAATTAACTGCCTTTAGTGTAAGGGCATGAGTGCATAAAAGTATGCAGTGTAAAATGTTTGCATGAGATATTTCACTTCATGGAAGCTTTCCCATACTTACAATATGAACACTATAGAAGTCTTATTTCTCTTGTGATCTTCTCTCCATTAGGAATGTAAGGAAATTGTTACCTGTATCTGGTCTCCTTTCCATACTGAAATGCATGGCTGTAATCCTCAGTGTATTTTTATCTCATTCTTCTGGAGTTATTTAAAATTTGCCCTATTTCAACTGAAGCTTATATAAACTTCTGAGCCAGGTTGTTCCAGTGATTGGAGTTGAATTGCTTATAGAACACTGGTTGAAAACACCTTTTTATTTGAATTTTTTTTTCTTCCAGAATTATTCTCTGATCATTATGGTTCTCTAAGGAAAACACTGAAAAGTAAATATGATGCTTTTCAGTGTGAATGTGTGAGTTTTTCTTTTAAAAATATTTTAAAACAAAGATCAGAGAACTATAAAGTAAAGGGAAATGTCATAATTCAGTTGCAAAATCATTATTCAGTGGTGATCATGGAGATAACAGGAGGAATCATTTTGTTCTTTGGGTTCATAGATATGACTGTGCACCAAATCTTAGAAAAAATAAATCATTTTAAAATTATTGCCACAAAATTTTTAAGCTTAATGGTTTGACTTTTAAAGTCAATTAAATAATTCTTTGAAAATCTTTTATGACATTTTTGTAACCCACTCAGTGTTTTTATTTGCATGATTATGCATTTGTGATGAACCATACATGATTCTGATGTTGTATTTCTTTCCAGTATTAACATTTGTGTAATGTGTGGCCAACCCTGATTTGTACACTGTATGATTATTGTTGTAATGATTCAGCTAATTCCTACATTTAATTGCCATTTTGTTGTTATGCCTTTTGGGGTTAAATGATGTGAAGTATTTCCACCTAATGATGATACCATATGAAACATGACTAAAAGACTGACCTAAGAAACTCTTTTGTTGCTAATTATTTTTTTTTAATTTCAATTTCAAAGACAGTTGTTCTCAAAGACACATGAATTTATTTTAAATTCAAAAAATTCTTATGAATTTATTATTGCTTGTCCTTTTAGTTTTTTTTTTTTTTTATGGTAGACAACCCTAAGTCAGTGTCTCATGGGAGAATCCATATCATATGTGCTTATATTTGTGTAATCTGATCATGCACTCAATGGTTGGAAAAGGCACTCCAGTGCTAAGAAAATAACCAGAAGCCAACATATCAATTCTTATGTCTTGGTTTATGTTACCAACTGAATGTGGTATAATGCATAACTCTTTCCAGTAAATAAACTGGTTATCTTTTGTTCATTTCATCTATGCTACCTTTCTATTGGTTTAAGCAATTTTCCTGTATGTCATTTTCATTTATACTTACAAAAAAGAAAAGTATATGAATTTCTCTATGATTATATATTTATATAAAGGGAGAACTTATTTGAACCGAAAACTAAATGCTTTGCTTTAACAACATTTCTACACATTTCTGTTAAGAAATATGTATCAACTGAGCCCTGGCGGCACAGTGGTTAAGAGCTGCGGCTGCTAACCAAAAGGTCAGCAGTTCAAATCCACCAGCCGCTCCTTGGAAACCCTGTGGGGCAGCTCTGCTCTGTCCTATAGGGTTGCTACCAGTCAGAATTATGCCGATGGCAACGGGTTGCCCATTTGCTCCATTTATCATCTCTCCTCTTTGTGATCTTTTCTAAGAAGATATTTTGGCAGGAGGATACACTTAGGTGAATGAGATTAGAAGTGGGTTAACATCAAGAAAATGCCTATTCTAAAAAATGAAACAGTAATGAAAGAATGAAGTTTGCATGCTTATTTTGGGAGAGAATTCTTTGTTCTCTTTTCTATGAAGGAAGAGCAGACTCCCAAAACTTTGAGGGAGATTAATTTACTACCTCCTTTCACAAATACCTGGAGCCCTGGTGGCGCAGTGTTTAAGAGCTTGGCTGCTAACCAAAAGGTCAGCAGTTTGACTCCTCCAGCCTCTCCTTGGAAACCCTGTGAGGCAGTTCTACTCAGTCCTAGGGGGTCGCTATGAGTCAGAATCAACTTGACGGCAGTGGATTTGGTTTTTGGTTTGGATTTTCCACTTATATGTGTTAGAGTAAATCAGCTGCTTTGGAAGTCATCTACTTTGACTCAGTTCTGTTTCAGAAGATAAGGGGAGAGCACTGGAAAGAAATGCATTTGTGTGAGGTCCCAATGAGTTGAAACCTCTAATGCAGTCCACTTTATAACTGGTCAGATTAACCCATTATGGATGCCGCAGCAGTGCTGGCTAAAGTTGCCTGCTTACCCTCTGAACAAATACAGCACCAGAAATAATGGTGTAAACTTCCCTAAGAATCCCTCCTTTTTTTCTTCCAAAAGCTATTGCTGTTCTTTGAGGTTGGATCTATAAGTTCACTTGATCCTTGGCCTTCTCCTGCTCAATAAAGCTGATATACTGACACATTTGAAAGCTAAAACATCTGGATTGGACTCCAGCAGTATCAAGAAAGTCTCTTTTTGTCACTACATTTTGCTGGCAACTTGGATAGCACTATAGTGTTATCTATAGGGCAGTATGGATGGTTCCTGCCACCCCACTCAGGTAAGAAAGGCCAGAATTGATGGAAACTTGTCAGAAGGGGTTTCCTTAGCTTTTGCTTGTGCATACACTGACTTGTACATTGTAGAACTTGATAAATGTTGAATGACAATAGTAAGTTCCTGAGGAGTGGGTTCCTTGGCCCTTTGCCATCTGGCATTTCTTAGAGTACATCTGGAAAAGGTAACAATTGAGTTTATAGAACCTAATGTCACCATACTTTCAGCAGGCACTAAATAACAACTAATTGAGGAAACAGCCTTTAAATTAAGTGAAGTGTGATTCCTGTCATTCTCTCTTGGTGAATCTAAGAAGTAAATACTCAGCATTGTACTAGAAGGAACCTTAATGTGTACAATGAAATAATCTGACACTGTGCTTCTAATACATTTTATGAATCAACTACCACTTAAATGCTTTAAGAAGAACCTTAGGATAATTGATCCACAACATAACTGTCACGGAAGATAAATCCCACTGGAAAAAGTACTGCCAGTATCAAAAGTAAATATAATTTATAATTTAAACAGAGAAAGCAATATAAAGATAAATACATCATAACTATAGTGGCATCCAGTTAAATAGTAAAGAAATGTTACTATAAGAGTGCCTTATTCTTACAGTAATGGATAAATTGGATAGGTTAACTTCTGTTACCACTGAAATCCAGTGAAAGCAAATGTAAATATTAGCGCAGATGTCTGTTTGACACTGCAGAACAGGACTGGCTAACAGTTAATGCACTTGGCTGCTAACCAAAAGGTTGGCGGTTCGAATCCACCCAGAGACTCCTCGGAAGAAAAATCAGCCATGGAAAATCCTATGGAGCATAGCTCTACTCTGATACATATGGGGTCTCCATGGGTCAGAAACGACTCCACTGCAACTGGTTTGCTTTGGTTAATGTAAAATGATAATGTGGGGCCCCATGTTCAAAAATTAAAGAATTTCAAGACAGTGACAGCAGAGCATTAAACCAAGTAGAGGCCCTTCTAAGCATAGGACCTTACATGACCGCAGGAATCGCTCCCCCCACCCCCCTACCATGACGCCAGACCTGCCCTACAGCAGGCTGAATGAACTAGTGACTCAGGACCTCAGCATTGAATGTAGCTCTCCAGGAGCTGTGCTTGACTTTTAGCAGAATGGATTTCTGCATTTACTTATTTGGAAGAAAAAATAATGGGTTTATGTTCTCGGGCAGAGGGGAGATAAGATAAATGGTAATACTTGAGCATTATAAAGTTGAGTCTTGCAAATATCCCAGTGCAGCTATAACGTTCAACTCAAAATTTCTTAACTCTTCCACTCATACCAAGCTGAGATTATAAAAATGTTTAAAAGAAATTTTCAAAATAGCAGTAGACATTTTAATTAGTGTATATTAAAGTAATATAAGAACCCTACTGATACCTTCAATAGTTTGACTTCCTTTAGAGTCATAAATTATTAATGTGTCAAATGTCACAGGAAGATCTGCCTCACTTAAAAGAGCTATTAATCCAAGATTAATAAGTGATTCATGTCAACTTTTCTTCAAAATAAAGGGGAAAGAAATTATGTACCTCACTGAAATTCTTTCACTTTGAAAATGTGGGTTTTTATGTATATAGTAAGCTACCTATATTAAGAAAGGGATAAAGTAACAGTGTATCTTAGTTATCTAGTGCTGCTATAACAGATACACCACAAATGGGTGGTTTTAACAAACAAGTTGATTTTCTTAGAGTTGAGGAGGTTAGAAGTCCGAATTCAGGGCGCCAGCTCTAGAAGGCTTTCTCTCTGTGTTGACTCTGGGAGAAGGTCCTTGTCTCTTTTCAACTTCTTTCCTTGGCTCCTTGGTGACCTTCATGTGGCCCGGCATCTATCTTCCCCCATGCTTAATGTGCTCATTCATTTCTCAAAAGATTGATTAAAGACACACCTGACACTAACACTGCCTCATTAACATAACAAAGAAAACCCTGTTCCAAAGTGAGATTATAACCACAGGTATAGTAGGATTTACAGCACATATTTTTGGGGGACACAATTCAATCCATAACATAGTGGAAACCTGTAGAAATGGTTCTCTGTAAAAGAGCAAAGGATGTGGATGGAAAAGCACTGGGTGGGAACAAGACTCAGTAGGTAAATGCCTTTTTATATTGTTTTGATGCTAGAACTATGGAAATACATTATTCAAAAATGAAAAAGAAAATTTGGGCTCTCAGAAATTCACAATGAGCCAGAAATAAAAAGTAACACAAATTTTAGAGAATTTTTTTTTTCCTAAAGCATCTCTGTGACTTTGGGAAGTTACTGAAACTTTCTGTGCTTCAATTGTCTCATCTTAAAAACGAGAATAAAAATGCCTACCTGCAAAATTTTTGTGAAGATTAAGGAAAATGACACATGTAACATCTTTCAAATGGCATTTATAATATATAACACAGTGTCTGTGTTTCCTGGTCAGGAAAGAGGCAAGCAGAAATATAGAATTACATTCCATCATTCTTTGCCATGAATGCCCTGGGTCCACTGTGATAGTTCAGCAGCATTTATATACAAGACATTTAACAAAAATCATAACAAAACGACCTCAATAAAAACTAAAAGAAAACATGATGTAGATAGCAGAAAGATATAGAAGACCTACTTCACAGGGGTAGAGAAAATTTTCTAAAACTTTCTATATGTGCCTGATTAAAGTAAAATTCCCAAATATTTAATTCATTCATTGGTTTATGGAGGTGACATATTCTTTGAATTGACTGACATTCCAGGATTCATTAATATTTTTTGAAGCAATGGCCTAAAAATAAGGGATGTAGACAGCTACTATGATTGCTAAAATGCAAGCCTGGCAACATCATCCCTTGCTTAAAATCCTTAAAAAAATCATTCCCTTGTCATTAGGATAAAGTCCTAACTCTTTACCAAGCCTTACAAGAGCCTTGTCTTAGGCTGGGTTCTCCAGAGAAGGAAAACCAGTAAAGCATATAAATATATATAGAGAGAGATTTATATCAAGGAAACAGCTCACATGATTGTAGAGGCTAGAACATCCCAAGTCCATGGATCAGGGGAGAGGCCTCTCCCAATTCACGCAGCCCCAGAAACTGACGAACCCAAGGTTGGCAGGTCGGAGAGTAGGGCTCCCACTCACAGGCTGTGAAGGTCAACAAATTCTAAGATCGGCAGGCAAGGCTGTAAGGTTTTTCCTGATTTGAATAGCTGCAGGGGCTGGCGAGCCCAAGATCAGCAGGTCAGGGAGCAGGACTCTTTCTTGCAGGCTGTGAAGATCGATGAATCCCAAGATCAACAGGTAAGCTGCTAGCTCAAGTCCCAAGAACCAGAGGTGAGACAATAAGAGGCAGCTTCTGGGTCCGGAACAAGCCAAAAACCTTGGCAAGGCAAGCAGGAAGGAAGTAGCCGGCAGAGGTTGGAGAGATGAAGGCCAAGGGGGTGGTGACCAGTCATATGCCCCGCCCCCACTGGTACCACTCAGCAGATTCCATCATGGGGGTGATAACATAAAATTTCAACAAGGAAGTGATCACAACATTACATAGCTGCCAAAACACTGAGAATCGTGGCCTAGCCAAGTTGACATACAATCTTAACTATCACAAGCCTTAACAATCTGGCCCTGTTTCCTCTTCAGCTTCATTTCTTCCTTTCCATGCCCTGTTAAGTGCAAGGCTCTTTCTCTCTTTTTTGCCCTTGT